AAACATGCTCTTTTTCCATTTAAAACCATCCCCCCTTGTCTTGTCACTACATGCCCTTGTCAAAAGTCCTTCTCCAGCTCTCATGTAGCAACTTTAGGTACTCAAAGGTGCTTTAAGGTCTCGCTGGACCCTTCTCTTCTGCAGATTGAACAACCCCAACTCTCTCCGTTTATCACAGAAAGTCCTCTGGATTATTAATTATTAACAAATTTTTTTTTTAAATCTTTTCTTACTCCTATCCCATACACTTAGCACACTATCCTATACATAAGAGCCAAAATATCTCCCCTGGATTCGCAAAGTAAATAGGACTTTTTTTTTTCTTAAACAGTATTTTGACACTTCAGGTTCTTCAGGGACACCAGAAGAAATATATTTTTAAAATGCTCAAAGCTTTCTCTTGAATTCTAGAAAAGTGTGAAAATATACAAGGTATTTCTAGTAGTGATCCTTGTTCTGATCCCAGGCTGCATTTCTTTTCTCAGTTCTTGTTGGTATGAATGGGCATTATCGTGACAGCTGCTTAAAAGACACACAGACAGAAAACTAATACAGTCATTATGTCTAAAATTTACCCAAGATTCTGCAAGCAATCCATAGATGACTAAGAAAAGACTTTTGAAACAATACTGGACCTTGACACATGCACTGAGATATTTCCTTTAGGGCCTTGGGCAACGTGGTCTAGTAACAAGTGTCCCTTCCCATGGCAGGGAGGTGGAACTATGTGATCTTTAAGGTTTCTTCCAATCCAAACCATTCTGTGATTCTATGATCTGGAGAGGGCAGAAAGAGAAAATGCCCATGGTCATTTCTAGATAGAAACAGGTATTTCTCACAGAGCAATGTTTGTAAGAGAAGCTTGAAGGATGTTTTGTGGTTTGGTTGTTGCTGTGTATGGGTTTTTCTAATACAAAACATCAGAAGTGTAAATAGAGCACTTACCTAATGTGAACAGAGAAAAACAAGTGAGTATCTTAAAGTGGAAAAGCACATCAAGTTAATGAGTCCTGATGAAATGACTTGCAGGTAATTTTTCCTTCAATACTCACCTTGAGTTGAATTAAACTAGGATTTATGATTTTAACACAGAACATACCATTCTAATTGAAAAGAAACTGATACAACTGAGGGCTAGAAGGAGGAAATTTATTTTCTTTTTTTTTCTTTTTTTTTTTTCCCCCCCAAACAGCTTCATTCAGGCAACTCTATTAGAAAATGTGCATTTTGGATCATTTCCAGGTTTGTCAAAACCAACAAATAACCAAATTGACACAAAAAGATATTTTTTTTTTCTTTCATACTGACAGCAATGAACAGCTATGAACAGAAGTACTTTTGCATCCACCAAATTTCCAGACAACCAAAGAATCTCAGAACTTACACAACTCTGTGTCTTCACTCTCTTACAGGAAGGGTCTGATGGGCAAACCAGCTCCTCCTCACGTGTTGGTGCCGCCTGGGTTTGTGGCACTGCAGGGAATTTCCTCCCCTCTGCCCCAGCACACAGTGAGACCATCATGACACGACCTTTTACCACAGAAACCTTGCACCTTTCTAGGTACACCACCACACAGCACTCTCCTTTACATGTGACACCTGCTTCTGCAAAAGGTGGGCAGTGTCCTGGGGCTGGGGCTTCTCCCCTGTCCACCTGCAGAAGCTGGAGAGATGCTCCAGGTGCAAAAAACCAGGCTGGGTACTGACCAGAGGAGCTCACTTTGTGGTAGACTGTATTCTGCCCATGCCCTGACCAGATCTCATAAAATAACTAATAGTTCAGTTGTAAATTGCAGGCAATAAAGATAATCCAGTATTGTGTGTAAAAGGTTTAATATCAGACAGAGAAAATATAATATCAGACAGAGAAAATAAAATCCTTCAGTTAAGAGTAGAATTTAATTAGAGGTTAAAGGTATGTTGAACTTCCATCAGCATCCTGGGTACAGCTTTTGATGTGTGAAAAGCTAAATATTTTCATAATGAGCTGTTGCTGCCATCTACTGAACACAGGCAGTGTGAACTACACAGATTTACAGTTTGGCTACTGACCAGAAATATTTGCTTGGCTGGATTAAGTAAAATTTCTGTTTCTTTAGAACAATCACGTTTCTTTCTAGATGATATGCAGGACATGAATTTGCTTTAGAAAAAAGTTGTGACCCTTTGGGAGATTTTGAATTCTCCTTTGGGACCCACTCCTGGCCAATGGGGGAACTGTGAAACATGAGCACATGTAGCTCCCATAACGTGAAACACATTGCTATTAATAAGAAAGAGTTATTAGTTAGAGCTGCAGGTTATTAAGATCTTAAGACACATTAGCTCTTCTTGAGCAACATCATGCAGAATCCATAAACTCTGCTGAGGATGGACACCTGCCCCGTGTGGCAGCTGTGGTTTAGATGAGCAACCTCCCAGCTGGAAAAGCACTGGCATTGGCACTGAATTTCCACCAGGATGCTGAAGGGTGGCACAGAGGTCAAGCAGCCTGCTGAGGGAGTTCTAAGCATCAGGAGCTATCCCAGCCCCACTGCTCGTTTTATCCAGGAGAAGAGCCTGTTCTTTTATGTCCTAGAAGCTGACCCTGAGTGTAAACAAAGGCATTCAAACATACTCATATACATACACATTAACAGCAAGAAACCTTTGTATTAACAAAAAAAAAAAAAAAAAAAAAAAAAAAAAAAAAAAAAAAAATTATATGCAGATACTGCTTACGTACAAGGTATATACATGGACACACAGCCAAATTCAGCCCTGTGGGTAAATAAAACCTTATTTTGTGTTGACTTCAATGAGGCTGGACACATTTGCTTAGAGACGTCTTTGGCTTGTTAAGGGCCACAAGAAGAGGGGGAATTTTAGGGGAAAAGTGGAATATAGGTGGGGATCCTGCTGATTTTAGGGCACTGAATACAGTGGAGTGTTCAGACACACACAGCTCAGTAACAGTGCACGAGAGCCAAGATTATGGGCTACAAGAGCAGTGACTTCTGTCTAAGATAGCAAAGGGATATAAAGAGGAAAAAAAATAATCTGGTTCTTTTTCTCAGTCTACAGTCAGGCATGTGGGAGCTGCATTTGACAGAACGACGCCGGTGTGAGATTAGCCAGAACAGCAAAAAGCATCCTGTATTCCGCTGCAAATTCCGCATTCCTCTGCAGATTCCGGGATTTCCACACGAGGGAGCTTCTGGCCCACGAAGCTGGCAGGGCGCTTCCTCCTGGGAAAGGTGGCAGCAATGGCTCCCTGCGAGCTCCCAATCCATGCAGCCTGATTGCACTGCTCCGAGCCACAGCGAGAGCCAGGAGTGAAATGGTTAACAGATAATGATGATTGTCAGAGCTTGTTAACCACAATTATTTTCAAGACATATGTAAATCTGTATAAATACCTAAGTGTGGTATATAATCTAAAACATACTGTTTAAATCTATAAGCATTCCTGAGTTAATTTCACTATGGGAACGTTAGTTGCAACTTCCTGACTTCACTGTGTTTGAATTCATATCCATGAACATTAATTTAAAATTAGTCTAAATATTTGTTGAGAAGTAATCACCTGATAAATTTAGCTCTTTTTCATTTTTATGAATTATTCATTATCTCCTCTCTTTCCGTTGATGTGTTGGTTGTTTTCAAGAATTGAATTACTAGTTGACAGTAAAAAAAAAAAAAAAAAATCCAGCATTTCTAGTGATTTGTAAAATGTTTCCCTTTGAAACTTGACTGGTGACTATGAGAGCAATTGGGTTTGCCACCGATATTACATGGTACTGGTTTGCTTCTTGAAGGGAGTTTTTCAGAGGCATAAGCAAGTTGATACAGCAAATAATTTGCAAGAACAGCGAAAAAATCTGTTTATGTCTTGCATATATATCATTCCTACAAATGAAATTTGTATTAGCAGAAGTTGGTGGAAATGTCTGGGAGCAGTATGATGAGGCGTGGCTGCAGGAATGAACAACCATGTGAAACTGCCGAACTGCAAAAAGCTCCTTCTGCCCTGTCATCACAGAAAATACCTGAGCTTGCCAAAGGAAAATAATAATTCTGTTCTAGGATGGCCTTAGGCAAGTCTCAATGAAAAATTACCAGCCATCAGATATTACAAAGAGGAGCAAACCTTTTCAGGAAAGCCTTGAGTGGACGGCAGCAAGGATCCCTAACACTGGCTAGTACAAAGGGAAGTGACTGGAGAGCCTCTAGCACACAGAGGACCATCGCTCAAACTTTATCTATGGCCTGCCTTCGGTGCACATAGTGGAAGACCAGATTTTCAGAATAGAACATACATTCCCAAGTCTAGGGCTGGAAGCCTAATTCCTGTCTGCCACTCATTAAAACAATCTTTGTCACACAATTAATTTGGTAGCAAGCATAACTTCCATTCCTCCAACTCACTGAAACAGATAACATCTTCAATTTCCCATCGGGTATGTCTTGATATTTGTTACTTTCAAATCAGTTTGCTACTATTAATTAAATAACAAATCAGAAAATTACTTCTAAAATTATAAAAAAGCAAAACCCCCAGAACACACCCTCATGTGGTTAGAAACTGGTACCAGCACTTGCAAAACATCAAAGGCTTCTCTAAACATAGACTTTCATCAGTGATGCTGCAAGCCTTCATCTAATCTTTCATGATTTCCCATGCAGGAACATCAAAAGAGAAAGAAGAGAATAGCACTGTTCCAAAGCAACAGTGCTCTGTGTGAAAAGTATGTGTTTAGCTATAACACATAAAAAATATAAGTGGGAAATTATTATTTACATGAGACATATTTTAATAAACATCATCGTTATTTCTCTGTCTTTTCCTATAAGGAACAAGGATTTTTGCAGTTCAAAATCATGTCCAAAGCTCAAGCGATTTCTGGAAGAAAATGAAAAAGAATTAGAAATGTATAAGCCTTCAAAGCAGGAAGATCAATTTATGTTCATTTTTACCTACTGAAACACATTCTGCATATTTCATTGTTTCTGTCATCTTGTTATAATCCATCCAAAGAGTTTTCAAAGAACATTAAGTCCTGCAAATAAACAAACTGTGCATTAGATATGGAAGACACAAAAATGCAAAAATTACTATCAAAAGTCTTACTTGCAGGCTTTTGTTACATAAAGTATTTATATTAGTCAATCACTTTTTATCACTGCCACTGAGAAACAATTTTGGAGGGGGCAATCCAAAAATCTTAACTGTCATTTCTATCCTACTAAAAGCAAAATTTCTGAATTGTTGTTGGAATTTTAAAGCAAACACTTTTCAGTGAATAATTTAAATAGTATTATAATTGTGGGTTGTAATCTCTGATGTAAGTATCACACAGATGATTTTGAAACCATTTCATATTAACACAATTATGTTGGCAAAAGAGCTACACAGCAAGTATCAATTTCTAATTCTAAAAAACTTGCATCTTAACTTCATCTTTACCCCTACCACTGAGTGTTCTACTTCTCATATACTTCTAATGGTTATCTTCATGAGAGAATTTTTGTAGGAATTTTCATATGACCTGAAGGTCTTACATACAACACTCAACAGAATTGTTGAATTGGTTTGAAATTACCATTAAAAACAACACAACCTTTTTTTTTGGTTCATACACTTGTTCAAGCACAATAAGGGGTTTGGGGGACTTTGGTAGGTTTGACACGTATGTTGAGATTTGATCCTGCCATATAAAATATTGAACTGCATGTGTAATACTATTTAAACAGTTTAAGTAACAAAAATTTAAGAACATAAAAAAAGCAGACATAAAAAATTAAAATTTTCTAATTCATTTATCTTTTAGGTATTGGGTTTGGTTTTCCATGCACTTGCATTTTTCTAGTTCTCAGCTGACAGCAAGGGCCCCTTTGGCCCTGTCTGCACATCCACCTTGCACACTTACAATGAGGAAACAAGCACCAATCATGACTGCCTTGATCCTCACATCGAGATCTACAGGGACCTGGATCCCAAAGTTGGCGGTGTTGGTGAAGACGTTGTTGACAAATCCAGACCAATACTTGGAAATTTTGCCGATGGTAGTCATCTCATCGAGAGCTTTTACCTGCACAAAGGAAAAACAGGCACAGACATAAATGTAAACAAATCAAGTGCACACTGATGACATCTCCACAGAATTAATGACTGTGTCCTGACATGCTGAGTATGCTATAGTTGTCAGGTTCTCCTTTTATTCTTATTGCTGGGATGTTCTATTAGTGTCAAATTTCCCTTTATGAGTGGCACGCAAGAAAGGGTCTCAAGTCTGGAAGCATCAGCATCTTTAGAGCGGACAAAAAGTGGGAGAAAGCAATCTTGAAAGTTTATGCCAGCTTTACCTTTCTTTCACAGAGTTGTGGGTTTTTTCCAATCTCCTGTTTTTTATATTCTCCTAGCCCCACTGCTGTGGACCACTGTCCCCTCAGGGGACAGGCATGTTCCCAATTATGCCATCTGCATGTTTCTTACAGTATACTGAAATTTCAGACAATACCCATTGGAGTCTTCTAATATGGCTAATGAGCTGATAAATTGATAAACCAAAAAATTCCTTTATGATTCTTAACTAAGTTAAAGCACTTTGTTCACATCAGAAAACTCTGTAAAGGGTTTCTTCAAGTATCTCTCATTCTCCCTCTCAACTGAGAAATTTATTCAAAGTAGTAAAACTTTTAAATCGTTAACACTTGTACAAAACATACCTCAAAGTCAACATCTTCAAAACAGCCACAGGTTGCACATGGGCCAATTATTTTTAGCACATCTTCTCTGCTTTCATTCTGTATAGTAAACTTTGGCAGAAAAGGGTCCCAGTTCTGTACAACGTACCCAGCTACTGTACCTGGTGGGGACTGAACTTCTAACTAGCAAACAAAATAAAACAACAAAAAATGGTTTTAGCTGATTTTATATTAATGTATTTTTCCGTGATAGAGTATTGTTTATATAATGACAAGATATTTATCTACTGAATATAGTAACATACCTTTTTACCAAACATGGAACTGGATATTGCAGAACTGTCTAACAGTGTTGTTAAATACAGTGGACAATATGAACTCAAAAGCTGCACCAGAAACCAACATCTTACATACAATAAAACACTTTATAAAAGCTATAAACTGGGAAAAAATTTATGTATTCAGGCAGTATCCTACAGGCTTATTTTAAGTAGCTGTTCTACCAAAGGACCATTCCTTTAAAAATCCTGACAAGGATAAGTGCTAAGAAGGTAAGTGGATGAGCTAACCTGTAAATCATTTTCATAACACAAGAAAGATGTCTGAATAAAGGAGAGTCAAAAAATAGAGAGGAAAGACCTGATGCTCTATGGGATCCACATTTTTTACTCCAAGCAGCTTACTTCCATGTTCTGCCATTTCCCAGACATATATGGCCCTGAAGAGGCAGATCTTCAGGGGCTCATCCTCCTCAGAGATCTGCTCCAAGTCCCACCCCCAGAGCCCAGTGGCCTTCACAGTTTCCATCCTTCACCCTCCTGGAGTTCAGTGGGTGATCTCTGCCTGTGTCAGTGCAGGTAGTGTCCTGGGGTGTCACCCGACTGGAGAGACATCGCCAGACACCAAGGCTTTGTGTGGGATGTCAGCAAAGCCAGGTGCCCTGGAAGGGAGGAGGCACGCTGGGAACAGCACTGGTTCATCAAGAGCTGCGTCTACCCAAAGGCCTCCCGGGGCCGGGGGGCTGCCAATTCCTGAACTGCTCCCTGCCCATGGAGGAGCTGCACAGCGAAGGCATTTGGGATCCCCTCACCTCCTGCAGGAAGCAGGGGAAGCAGCAGCTGCTGCACCTCAGGGGTCTGATGACCCGGATCACCTCGCGGCCCGCGTTATCCGCAATCCTGATGGTGAAGGCCCTGACGGGCGAGCACAGCTTGCGGTCAAAGCAGCCGTTCTCTTCCACTGCAAAGTAAACTCTCTGTCCCAAGGGGTTCTTTATCTCGTATTTGCTGGAGGTCTCTGTGCCAAGTATGGCTAATAAAGCAAAACAAGCAGAACGTTAATTTAATATAATCTTTGTTATTGCTTTAGTATAATGTTAGTGTGTATATATATATATATATATGAGCATTTATTCTAGAAGTCTATGACAAAGATTGTTTAAAAAATTGTTTTGAAGTAGCAACACAAAGAAAATATACAAGTATAAGGAAATAGTAGTGCCAGGTCTGCATTTTGAAGGAATTAATACAGACTTTGATTTGTTGTACACTAAAGTACATATCACAACAGAGAATTCAGATCCTGAGTTTCGGTTTGGGCATTTTCTTGCTTTATCGTCTGTGAAAATTAACATCCTGAGACTATCCCACCTCAGTGACAAAGCTTTCACCCAGCAGGTTATTTGATAATTTTGAATGGGAGAAATACATTCTACAGTATTTTACTAGTAGTAAAGCTTTACAGTATTTAATATTTGTCCATTACTTTGAAATTCTGAGAAACTAAATAATTAGAAAATCTTTTGCTCCATTTTATGTTTTCTGACCTTCCTTTCTCTATTCGCTTTGTTTCTCATAGTATGTTACTTATTGTTAGATAAATTTTTCCATGGATTGGAAAGATGGTTAAGCTTTAATAACACTGAGAGGGAGGTGTCTGAGGGGGAGAATTTAGGACTGTTGTAGAGACTACTCACCCCCTCAGTGGTTTGCTGCAGAACAGGCAAACAATAAAGTGATCCTTCCCCACCCTATCACTGTGTAACAGCCTGACACAAGGGCAGCAGGAGGGTTCACAGTGACTTCAGTGAGCTGGGGGCAAGACTTGGTGCCTTTTGGGGACACCCATGTACCAGCACTGTTAAAGGGTGACAAGGATTGCACCATACCTTCCAGAAGATCCACTTGCTGATGGATAATTATCTGGTCCAGCTGCTTAAAAAAAAATAAACAAGATGGTGGGACTTGGACAGGTCTGGGGCTGCCAGTGGTCACATGTCTATTTTTAATGCTCATCTCCCTGTAATTAAGATTTCTTTCCTTACAGAGGTGCGCAGGTTGGGTGCCTGCAGGATATCTCAAGTCACACTTTGGACTTCTCTCTGAAATTATGGCTGAGGAATGTGACATTAGGTGCTGTGGCCATGTAATTCACCCACATGCTTGAAAAAAAGTAATCTTCACTGAGGGAATAAGGCAGATAATAGCAACAGAAAGCAGAATACACTCTTGCTCCTGTTGCTCTCTGTCAGAGGGGAAGCTCCTCACCCCAAATCCAAGGTTGGTGCTGGGCACCATGGCAGTGCAGGAGTGAATGAGCCTGGGCTCAAGCTTAAAATGTGCAGTGGCCACATCCCAAAGGACCTTGCTGGAGCAGCCCAGCAAGGCAGTCAGGGGATGCCAGCGATGGCACACACCAGCTTTAACGCTCTGATCTCAGGAACATGAGCCCTGCACCCTAAGTCTGGCAAATGGTCAAGCCAGGGTACCAGAATGAGCAAAACAACAATGAAACACTCAGCTGGCTGAAAATGTCTTCCTCTATGAGCTGGTTACAAATGCAGGGGAAAAACTGTTTGCCATGATACCTAGCTTTGCTGTGCTTATTGTCCCTCTGACATTATTCTTTCTTGGAGAACAGTTGTTAGCATTGTAAAACCAAGATTTAATTCCAGTCTACCTTTCAGTTTTATGTGACTTTTTTATGCCTATTTTATGTGACAGTTTTAGGCTTTACCAGTCTCTTTTCAGTAAATTCCTGATGAACAAACGCTTGGCACAGGGTTTTGCTGTTACTCACAGCTGCAGACACAAAGCACACAGTGACCTTCTGAGACCACCATTCCACAGCTCTCCAGAGCCTGGATATTTTAAAATTGATAAATCTTGCCTGGTACGTATTCAAACTGTTGCAGACATTTGTCACTTCTAGTCAGCTCCTGCAGCTAGTTCAGGCTGCAAAGAGAAGCTGGTAAAAAGCGCAACTTCTTTATCCCTTTCATTAATCTTGGAAATGTGCATGCCAGTAATTGAAATAATAAAAAATATTTAGATGTAAAAATATTCTCCCAAGAATCTTTGCTGTTTGCTTTTCGGGTCTCATGAGAGAGCTCTTGGAGCTCATGGGAAGGGCTCTGTTGATGGAAAGAGAATAAAAAAGTTAAAGATGGTAGAGCTATTTTAATATTTTAGTATTTATTTTAACATGGATTTCTTTTTTCCATGTAGACTTTCACAGGAAAAAGAAAATTAATGACCCTGAATTATAAAAAGCTTTGAGTGATTTTGGTTGATTGGTTTACTGTGACAACATATAAACAATGTTAAGACAACACAGCAGTACCACTTGTTATCCTTGTTTTGCCTTTCACTGGTTTCTGCAGGGCATTTATTCTGATGCATTTTTGTTGGGGCACTTGTGGATTGAGGGAATTCTGCACTTGCATTTGAAACACTCCAAGCCCTTCGGCTTAACAAGGGTCTGGCCCTCTTGAGCTCAGATATGTTAAAATTCCTTATACACAGCTAATTCTCAGTATTCAGTTCTGTGGGCATCAAATTTACATCTGATCAGTCTAACCAAGTCTAAACAAAGAAGATTTTTACAATAGTTAAAGCTGATTGGTGGCACAACATGCAGTTAAAATACTCAGAAAATTCTTCTCCAAGGTTACACCTGTCTATTCCTGCTGTGGGGAAAAGTTCATTTGATTTATGTTATGGTCACTGAACAAGTCTTTGAGCTACGGCTGTAATCTGGAAGACAGTAATGAGGTTTAGGTAACTTTTTTCTGTAGGAAGTAATTAAAGAGTGATAGAAAGCTGATGTGTTTGCTGAGGCAGCAGCAGTTTCTTGCCCTTCTCTGGTGCACCTCAAACAACAGATCAGAATCATTCCTTCACCTGAACTCACTGCAGGGTGTGGGTCTGCAGAGTGAAATGTTGCTGGCTGGCCTTTACCTACAGGACACACATTTTCCTTTTCTCTCATCCAACCCTTGGGTTGCTATTTAGAACAAGATTGTAGGGATCTCTCTGAGACTGACTAAATTTGAATCCTTGTACCAAACATGTCATATTGAGAAATACATTCATCTTTCTCAAATCTATCCAGTTATCTTGCCCAATCCTGCTGGAGAACATAATTTCTATTTGTTATTCTGTATTTATTCACAAGCACTCTCTATATAATCTTTTTTCTAGTAATGAAATTCTATAAATTAAATATGTCTCTTTCCCACAGTTTGTTTACTCTCCTAGGCACTCAGTATGGTTCCCTCTCCAATACTGTTGTTTTCAGTCTACACATAGAACAGATGGAGTCTGGTTTGAAAGGAGGTTCTCTATTCCCCGTGCACTTCCAGTAGCATCTCTCTGTGCCTGTTTCCAAGAGTTTGGACCCTCTTTTCCCCAATGCACACAGCACCAGAATGAAACACAATCTTCTAGAAATCTTCCCAGTAGCATAAATAATTTCCAAGTTCTGCTAGAAACATCTTCATTCAAGCATTTAATTCTGTGGAAATCTCTTAGTCCATGAGCATAAATCCCAAGGGATTACCCTAGCAGCTGTGAATCCCACCTGCATTCTGCAGGCAGCCCTCTCCCTGCTGGTGGGACCTCATTTATGCTCCATCCATCCTGAATGAGCCCCTTTCATCAGCCACACAGCCTGTGTGGCTTCAGCATCACACACTAAAACGTTCTGCAGCACACAGAAACTTGAGCTGTGGGAACTTGCCAGCCAGCAGCACTGCACACATGCCTCCCACTTTTCAGACTGCAGGGAAAACTGAGAATCCTTAGCAAGGGCTGCAGCACAGGCCAAGAATAAGTATGAATGAGGTCTTCAGTTCCAGCTGTAGATCTGAGAGTGACCTGCTCTTTTTTCTTAACATCAGATGCAAAGCTTCTATAAAATGGAGTGATAGTATTTGCTTGCCTACGTTGTCTGGGTAAATCTGAGGTGTAATTTGTGTTCATACAGGAGCCTGAATATGTAACCTGCCAAGTACTGACTAGCACAATCACTTTTAGACTAAAAAATGTCTTCCACGGTCTTTAAGCAAATGCTTGTGTAATTGACAACACATATCATTTTGTGCTCAGGCATCTTGAAATGAAAGTCATCACTCCACATGAAAGACTGCTTCTGAAGGGTCTCTCCATTTCATTAACTATCTAGGTAACTTAGCTCCAAATATAAAATACATTCAATTTCTGCTTCTATACAAAACTAGCAGAAATGTGTGCCTAAAATACACATCTTCAGTGAAGTGAACGTTTCCCAGCATCACCGAAATGCAAACACAGCAGAAGTGTATCAGAATTATGATCTGACTATGCTGGGGGCCTGATTCTGTCCCTGCCCATAACAGGCATGGCATGTGACACCTTACTCAGCATGTAAGAGTGGCACAATCCAGCCACATGTAAAACACAAACCTCAGTCAGCGTCAAAGCTACAGCAGGGAGGGACTCTCCTGGTAAAAAGGTTCAGGAGAAGATTAAACTTCTGGAGCAGATCTGCAGACCATCAGTGCTCTGAGCTCCAGGAGCTGAGAGATTTCACAGAGCAAAAGGGACAGCCACATGTTTAGCAGTAGGATGGAGAAGACTTAAGCATTCATTTTTCTTCCCCACCTATGACCTACTTCTCTGCCTCCATTTTCAAGCTTTTTCCTCTCTCAGGCATTAGCAGTTTCTTCCTCACACAGAGTTAATGCAAGTTTGTAGCCACTCAGACTTATGTTCACCTAATTTCTATAAAATTAATGGCAGCAATGAAGAAAAAGCTTCTTTCTCCTATGTTCCTTATCTCAGTAGAATCAAACAACAAAAAAGCCTCTCCATCTCAACCTACCCCACCCCCAAGAGGAAAAATCCAAACAATCTCATCCTCCAATGTATCAAAGCAACATAAAAGGAAAACATAACAATTCTAACAGTCAGAAAGATTCAGGACCTGGTTCAGGTACTCCAGACCAGGTGGCAAATTATGAGCGTGTGATGTCTGCTTCCAGAGACTTGTTGGGTCAACAGGCGCATTCTGTTGAGGAATGTCAGAAGAACCAGGGAGGTAATCCTTAAAGATTAATTTGGTTTGTCCCTGAGATTCTGCAGGGAAAAAAAAAAAAAAAAAAAAAAAAAAAAAAAAAGAGAGAGAAAAAACCCAGAAACATCAGGACCAAGGAGCATGTACCTTCTTGGATCAAAGCTGGAACAATAACATCATTGTGCATGTGACTGTATCAGTACTTCAAGTCAGGACCCAAAAGGAATCTTCTGATTGTCCCACACATTGAGCACTGACTATAAAGCTGCCTTAGGATGTGCAAAGGGGAATCACTGCAGATGAAGTTAAATCAAGAGATGTGGTCTTGGAGGGCACCTGATCTGCTCTGACAGCTGATGGTGACAAGGCTGGAGCTGGCCTGGACACACACAGGGTGGCCAGAAGCCCCTCAGCACAGGCTGCCCAGCCCTGATCCCTGTGAGCTGCCCTGTGTGCCCTGAGCTGCTGAGGGCTGGATCCCAGCAAGATGCTTTCCAGCATCCTGAGGGCATTCATAATTTCTCTTAACTAGAGATAACCTTTCCAGGGATCTCAGATTCCCCAAGCTGGATATTACAATGCTGATATCAAAGTCTACACAGCCTCTTATAGTGTATTATTCATTATTATCTTAATGAAAGGATCAGATATCATTATGCTGTGTTTTCTTGTTTGCTACCACAAGAAGTCGTTTAGGGCACAGTGATGGTGACCTTGGCCAGTGCTGTAAAGGCAATGAGAGCATTACTGCCACAGGCACCTGTAAATCCACACTGCTCCACAGGCACAGGCACCATCTCCCACAGCACAGTGACCACCTTAACCACTGGACTGCCAAAAAACTCCTGCTAGTTTTTCCAGGTACATTGTTCTTTGGCCTGCAGCAACACTGGTTCTGCAGGAACCAGAAGGAGCAAACTGAAGCTCCCCCCACCCAAATGGCAAATCCTTGATTGAGCTGAGCCCCTGTGATTTGGCAGGAAAGCAGTCCCCAAACTGATCATTTTTAGCTCATGTGTGACAATACTTAGACACAATGGGGTTTGAGGTCCAGAAGGAATTTTGGCTCTAAGTCTGAATATCTTTTTTGCTATTGTGGGTTTAAATGAGATCCTTTAGTATTTGAACTCACTGTGAAAGATTCATCATTCAATCATATTTTGATCTTAATTTGTCTTTGCAGCCACTGCTTTCTTTCAAAGTCTGAGACCACAGGAAGAACTAACCCCTTTGAATTTGTTGCTGGCTTTTAAAAATGTATAACTGGGTAATAAATATTTTATATGCTCTTCTGCATCATTTTACCTCACAGGGTTCTGTTACTGCCGTAACTCTTGTTGTTACATGAAATGCCATGAAGTAGCCCAGTGTTAGTGTTATTCTTGAATAATAAAGAAGAAAAAAAGACAACAAATTGCAGTTCTACCTGTCAAATTTTAAGCTATACAAAAAACAAACAGTAAATACATTAAATATTAATGACAATTTGAGCTAGTCTGACACTTTGTCTATTTTGGTGTATGATTCCCATTTCATTACTAGTATGGAGAACCTTAAAAGTTATCATATGATACAGTGAGTATTCTGTACAAACATAATTTGTAGAGTTGCATATTCCTGAAAGAGGCGAATTGTCAAGTTCCTTCACACTAAAAACCATATTCCACACCATTACAATTTAACCATTTTTCTAACTGATAAACATCAAAAATATGCAAAAGCAGATTTCTCTTATATGGTTAAAACTAAACAAAATTTAAAACAAAAAGTCCTATATTGCAAGAGTACAACAATGCTACAAAACCTGCTTGCTCCTGTGTACCTTTCAGTGCTCTAATGCAGAATGTCTTGAGTGTTTTGAGGGCAAGAAGGAGGGATAAATATTTGGCAAACCTAGACAGACAGTGCTGAAACTCCCTGGGCCAACACGTGCCTGTGCACATGCCTACAGAATGACCTCTGTGGAGTTGCACTCAAGAGAAAAAGAGATTTGTATCCTTCTGCTTAGTTGAAGCATTTGAAAACCTGGAGAAAATGAATTGTGAAGGCTGCTTAGATCAAATGCTGCAAGTCTGCCCATTGCTCTGAGTACTCAACGGGCTACTGCTAAAGTCAGTGTGTGACAGACACACCCAGGTAGGAGTAATCTGATTAAATTCAGTTATTATTATTCTTCACATGGGGTTATCAGGTCTCTGGCCAGTTTTGAATATGGAAAGCATTTGCTGATGTAGTATTTTCAAAGTGAAATAGGGAAGAACTGTGCAAAAAATAGTGGTACCCTTGGCTCAGTACCCACCCTTGCCAGGCTTTCTGTACAGACAGGTTTAAACACAAAGACACCAACACTAAATTTTCTGACTGAATGCAGAGACTAACATTTTATAATGTATTTTATTCAAATAACATCCTACTGTAGATTTTAGTCTCCTTAGGAGCCTCTTGGATGCTAGATGCTGAAAAATTAAAGGAAGACAAAACAACTGTGCTTTGACTGATGTGGTTTCATCCTGAAACACTCATTTCATCAGACTGCTGATTGCTGGAAACGCACAAGACTGTAGTTTTCTGTAAACACGATCTAAAAATACAGACTACAGATGCACTTACCTTGAGAGGCCATGAAGCTTCCCGAGCTACTTCTTCAAAGGAAGCGGGGTTAAAAGAAAAGGCTTTTCTTGTTGCAGCAAATAAAAAAGGCGCACAGCAGGCACAGCACTTCAGAGGGTGGGTGTCTGTCTCCTCGCTCTCAGCCTGCAGAGCGCGGCGGGAGCGGCTCTGTCCGCCCGACCCAGCGCCCGTCCGGGCAGGGGAAAGAGGGAAAAGAGGGAAAAGAGTTCAGCCAACGCGCAGAGACAAAGCTGCAGTGTGCCCGCTGCCTAAATGAACGCCCCAGAACTAAAATCCTGCTTTTAAATGTCGGTGTTTATTGTGAGAATACAAAGATTCTGGGTTTAGTTCAGTGTTTGCATTGCCACTTCTGCAGGCAAAGACAGAGTAGCTAATGAAGTTGTAGATAGCTCATCACTAGAAGTGTTCAAAGCCAGGCTGGATGGAGCTCTGAGCCCCCTGGTCTAGGGAAAGCTGTGCCTGTCTAAGTCAGGGGGTTTGGAACTAGATCATCTTAAAGGTCCCTTCCAACCCAGGTCACTCTATGGTTCTATGATTTCCTTACAGCTGACCCCAGTCAACATTTTCCATGCACAAAGCAGGAAAAGCTGTCTTGGATTTCTCACTGTATTCCATCCATGTAACATTAGCCAGAGGATATCCTCCAAGGGATGTCATGCCTACACCTAGTCCCATAAAATCATCCTGTATATTCATTCCCCCACCACCATGCCCCCCAACACTCACACCCACGCAGGGTTCTACTGATCCCAGTGAGGTGTTTGAACTGGATTTGGAGAACTAAAACACTGGCACTGTTCGTCCTAGACAAGCACTGTCCCACACTGTGACATATAAAATTACCCCCCTTGCACTGGGAGGAAAAAATGAGGAGAAGAAGGGAGAGTAACCTTCACTTACCAGCTCATATTCCTGCCTTGAGTGCCCAAGTTGCTGTGGAAATCATCAGGCAGGTGTGATCTGCAGGCAGCTGTGATGCACGGCTGCAAGAATGGCAGAGCCTATGCACAGAGCCCAGCAGAGCCAAGGGAGGTGCTGGGGACCATCTTCCGTCCTCTTTGCTACTGCAAGTTGCACTGGTTTGAGTCTGTCTGAAGTATGATTAAATTCCAGAGTTTGCAGCTCAGGAAGATGCTGATGAGGATTCTCTGAATGAAAAATACAGAACACCCGTCCCAAAACCCCCCAAATTATATGAAAGCTGATTTTTATAGACTATAATAGCAAAAGCAAAAGCCTCAGATCTACTTATGGATTTGGCTACATGAAATTTCCCAGGAGTTTATCACTGCCTGCTTGAGAACTCCCTGGGTGCAGTGGCAAGCACAGGCCAGCCCAGGAGCCAGACCCTGCTGGGCTCAACCTGGAAACAACCAGAGAAGTGACAAAGATTTTGGTGACTGAAAAATGGGTACTGAACAAATCCTTCTGGATTAGAAGGAAGTTTGACATAACTGGAAATAAAAATTAAGAATGACCAAAAGTTTTTTGCTTCCTTTCTCTCTGTCAAGGATGGGCTTCTTTGGAGCAGAGGCTCAAATCCAGAGAGCAGACACAAAGCCTAAAAAAAGAAGAAAAAGTACAGGGAAAGATCTGGATAAATATAGTAAACCTGTCTTTTAAAATGACAGATGAGAATTCAAATGAGATGGCACTCAATTATCTCTAAAAATTAATACAAACTTACTTTACCTCCCAGAAAATTACAGGGCAAAAAACATCCCAGTAATTCTGCCAGTGCATAAAACAATCATAATACATCAAGAAAAGTGCCTCAAACAAAATACACTGAAAGAAGACGTTTCAAATGTTTAAAAAGCATTTTTTGAGAAGTCCAGGTGATTAATTTGCTGACCCAGGCTCTGCCCAAGAGCTGCCCTGGCAGCACTCCCCTCCCTGCAGGAGCCAGGTTTCATTTCCCTGCCGCTCATGAAATATACATTTCCCTGAAATAGTTCTGCCCCAAATAACTATTTTTTTCTGACATTATTTGCAAAATTGCAGTAAATAGGTAACAGAAAGAAATACATCTCGGCTTTAAGTATATTTTGTGTGTTGTTTTCATTTTTTTTTCACAAAATTTTACATCTTTTACAATGTCCCCATTTACTCCATTCCCACTGTCTTATTCCATAGCAATAATTTTAGCAGATTATATCAATAGATTTCTGAAGGATTTGCAAACAATAGTCTTGCACTGGCATAAGTCCTTACAAGTAAAACCACATATTTAATAATTTAATCTGAATTTTTCGTATGCTTTTTTTTTTTTTAATAAATACTCATATATTGGTCCAAATAGGCTGCTGCCATGATTAAAAGCATTCTAACTAAGACATCAGGTACATAAGACCTAATCATATTTATTCAGGCACAAAGACAGCCATTCTTTGGTGCCCTTTAGATATGTACAGGAAGAACACTCAAGAAATGAGGACAAACATTTAAAGAATTGTGTACTGCTACTTCTAACCATATTTTAGGGCCTTCAGGAAGCAGAGCAGCAGCACCCAAAGGAGAATTTCACCAAGACACCAAACTGGCTGCCTGTGCCCCTTGAAGAAGGCCCAGGGGAGCCATATCACTGTCTGCATTGACTCGAACAGTCAGAGTCTCAGCACTAAAATAAAGTACACTGCTTTCCTCTGCATTAATGTGCTGGGCATCTGAAACACATTCACAGCTGTTTAAAAAAAAAGAAAAAAGAAAAAAAAGAAAACAAATAAGAAATTGAGTCTACATACATATATTCCTGCTACCTCTAAAATATTCTTGCTCCATCCCATGCTGTAAAGCTGATAAAAATTGATGGGCAAATACTTAGAAGGCACAAGTTAGCATGGATCCATCAAAATCAATGAGCCTATCCAGATCAGGGCAAACAGTGCTTGGCTGGAGGAGTTTATGCATCTAAGACCTTCCTTTTTTCCTTAAAGAAAAATTGCATCTTTTCTATAACTACCAGTTCCACAAAGGCCCAGAGATCCATCCCTGCTGAGCTGAGATACAAGCACCACTGCAGTTAATGGTTATTACATAAATTACTGCAGCCTGTAGGAAACATATCCATGGACTAAGACATCCTTGTCCTCAGCACAGAAACAGAACACGGATTTTCCTCCTGAAAGCATGCAGTAATAGTCAACCAGGTGGATCAAGTGAGCAGAAATGTCACATGGCTCAGCATAGGTGCCATTTCTCTGGAGCCTAATCACTCTTCCATTTTCTACAGGCGCCACAGCAGGAGTATGGCAATGGTTTCACAAAAAAAACACCTTCACAAGAGAAAAACAGAAGACAGTAACAAATTTCAAAGTATTAGGAAAAGCTGTTTGATTTCTTGTCCTGCTCCCTGCTGTTCAGAAAACTGCTCTGTGAACCTGGTGTTTGTCCCTGTACTCAGCAGGAGAAGACGGCACTCCCCTTTCCCCACTGTATCACTACGGACTCCTCCAGGTGAGAAGAAACTGCCTCTCCCCTTGTCCCCACAACCTCCAGAAGTTCAGGCAAGAGAACTCAGCCCCTCCCCAGCTGCCCTTCCACAGGGACGCCCTGTGCCATGCAGAACAGTCTGAGAGCAGCACACAGGCATCAGGACACACCCGAGCATCCCCAGGCAGAGCCTGAGCGCCCCTGCTGCAGAGGGGTCATCACCAATCACTGCTTCCATTCTAGATCTCCCTTCCTCGAAGTATCGACTGTGGCCAGCATTAAAATGCATTGTTATTGCCATTTTTAAAATAGGAAATATGATAGCCTTCTTTCTTCCCTTTTCTGGTCTTCCCTTTAGCACAGGGAGAAATGCTGAGAGCGATCGTAACTATCAGACTGTGACCCTGTGCAATTACAAGCCCCAAGTTACGTTATTTCACCCAGTATTGCTTTCTGCACGGGAGAGGAAAAAAACCCCAAAACTCAAACAGTCTCTTAAATCAGCCAGCACCTAGTAGGCTCCTCACCTTGAACTTTTGTTTGTGAGGCGTCTTGCTTCAGCGGGTGCCTCCAGGAGCTCCTCCCCTGCAAGGACATCTGCAATCACGCTGGAATTCCGCAGGCAGCTCCCGGTGCTGCTGCGGAGCCGCCTCCTCAGGTAGCACTGCCAGGGAGCTGCTACACAAGGTGTCTGTCGTGCACCAATTAACAGCAAAACGCAATCTTTAAAATAGCAGCTCTCCAGCAACCTGATCTTTATTTTGCATTCAACTCCGCTGGGAGAAATGGGATCAAAACAGCAATCTCAAAGTGGTTGTGTGAGGGAAGAAACCTTTCGAGCGTTTGTGGTTAGAGATGGAACGTGGCACTGAATACGTATCAGAGGTTTTAATGCTACCCCAGCAAGCACTGATGTGGATCAGAAACTAAATATAGATGTCAGCAAAACCCAACAATCCATCAGAAATTCATAAAGCAGCTTCCATACCAAATCTTGACACAGGAGAAAGAGAAGGCTTTGGCATGGGGTTTGTCTGTTTGGGGGTTTCAGGGGAACAGATATGTTTGGTTTTTGGTTTTGTCAAGGTTTTGTTTTTTTTTGGAAGGATATTTCTGTTGCACTGAGTTTTAAAGGTTTTTTAATAATCTCTAAAATCTTGTTTTTATGAAAATAGAGCTTTTGAGGGGCTGTGGGCACTGCCATGCATGTCCTGGTTTCCTACCAGCTCTGAAACAGCTGCACAAAGTCCAAAAAACTGAATTCATCCCCAGACCCAAATGTTTCGATTTTAATCCCACTAAGCAGGTAGCATAAAAGTCCCGAATATGTCTTGCACCAAAACCTGTACCAAAACTCACCACTGGTCATGAAGAAATTTCCAAAACTGGTCTTTCACTTCTGAATGATTTTGTTCTAAATAATGGACACTCTGAGGGAATCTTTTACATCTATCCTGAAGATCTATTCTGCTCCAGATAAATATCCTTTAATATTAATTGGGTTTGAGTGTGAGAAAGAATAACTTTCTCTGTGGCAAGAGCACACGGGAGGTCCACAGT